TGTTATTTGAGATGTTTCTCTGGTAATTTCACGAGCATATTGAAAATTTATAAGTTTTGCTTTCAAGTTTTGAGTTATCTGATAACGATTTAATAACGATTTAACATTATATGTGAATAAGGCAATAATGATAATAAGGTAAAATAGATCCACATACTATTACATTTTCGCATCGGATATCATGGTGAAAGATCTCAGCACTTTGTAAAAATCCAATTCCACAGCAAATATCAAGAGCTAAAAGCATTTTGTGACACCACATAATATCATAATTTTCATAAACTTCTTTAAAATTCCCATATTCAGCCCATTCAGAAACCATAATATTATTATTATCAATATAAGAAAGGCCATAAAATTGGAGGATGCTTGGTTCATTACTTAGTTTTTCCAGTATCACTAATTGCAATAAAATTTTTGGGGAATCTTGTGAACCTTCTTTTGGAAGAGTAACAGGTTTACAGGCAACATCTAAGTAATCTTTAAATAATTTTTTTTTGGTTACACCTTGTAAATCTTTCTTTTGTCCCAGAAAAGGATCTTTTAATTCGTTTGGTGCAATTTTTTGTACTTGAATTTTATTGATTATTGAAGTACTGTTATTAGCTTTAGTTAATATTAGTTTATTCATAATTGACACTTGTTCAAATACTGTGCCAAATTTGTTGTCAAAATGTCCTTTAAATTGCAAAAGGAACTGAATATAAGAATATTCTTTATTAATATAATAAGTGAATAACGAATGAATTGATAATAATAATTAGATTATTTACAAACCTCCTTCATTTCATCAAGATCCTCCTTCAGACTTTCCTGATCAATTTTTTTTTGCTCATCACTTGATATAGCTATCGCGAAATTTAAATCTTTCATTACTTTATCAAAATCATTGGTTAACTGTGTAAATGTTTTTGAAACTGTGTTTGCCTTAAAATTTTTTTCAAATCCTTGAAGTTGTGTAACTTCTTTGGCAAATTCTTTAATTTGTTGCGACACTAGTTCAAATCTAAGAAAAGAATGATAATATTTTTCTTTACGAAAATTAGCTTCATTTTCTTGTTTCTTTCTTTTTAGTAAATTCAATACAAACTCGGCACTTTGCACACGATCTAACAATGCATTACAAATTCTTTTATTACATTGGGCTGCATCATAAACTTGGATAATTTCAGAAATAAGGACAGTTATTCCTGATATCAAAGAACCAAAAGGTGTTATAATATTAGCGGTCACATTAATAGCATTGAGAGTTCCTTTCATGATGTCTAAACCTGAAACTTTAATTTGAGACATTATGAATAGGGATTTCACTTTAAACAAATTAGAATTAATACATCTGTAAACAAGTTTAAATTGCGTTCATGTAATACACATAAGTACGTACAATTTCATGTAACTTATATAAAAGGTAATAACGATAAAAATGAAAGAAATACTGTACAGTATTGATCAAAATCATATTTTAAAAGGATACAGTATCGATATCGTTATATATAGTTAATTGAAAAGATTGTTACTGTATTTTTTTAAGTATAAAAATAGTAAATTTTTTTCATCATATGGGTCTTATGTAACAACCTGTGCTTTTTTCGAAAGCTTCTTCGCATAGGTATGAGTTGTTACAAATAAGTGTGTAACAGGTTGTTACAATTAGATTTATCACAAACTTATTACTTGTTCATTAGTAAAATTGATCTCTTGATTCATCCCAATGAGAGTATAATTTAATAGACTAGATGCGTCAGTTTGATATTCTTTACTTTTTACTTGTTCTTCATTATCAAAATCTATTGATTGGGTTTGTAGTGAACAATAGATTTTATTCATTATGCAGAAATGTTGATCACGAGACCTTATCTCTGCCAATGTTAAGCAGAGATGAGGTCACGTGAACCTCTTTGTTTTTACAGTATTGGTATGTTAATAAAATTGATATATATCATATAGCGATAATTTTTAGTAACATGTGAATTCGTAGCACTGGATCAGGATAGGGTTTGTGCGTGATCAATAATCATGTAATATAAATAGAACAATGATCTCTAACAAGAAAAAATAGTAGTAGTTATAGTTTTAAACTTTAGTAGTCTTGGAACTAGAATTAAGCTTTAAATTAGAGTGATGGCTTTTATATTAGCATTAAATTTGACTTAAATATATAACTTAAAAATAGTGAGATAACTCATTTAATAGAAATTGTATAATTCAAAAGAAATAATCTCTTAGTCAATTTCTATTATCTCTATGTTTCAAATTTTGAGTATCACACAAACAAAATAAAATTTACGCGATTTCAATCAGAAAAGATTGATAGGTCAATAACTTTCTTATTTCAAACAGATTTTTTACTTTAAATTCGCAAGCTGTTTGATATCAATATTTCTAATTTTTTCATTAATTTATATGATAAACTCTACAAAAACAATACATTGAAAATGAATAAATAATAATGAAAATGTAAATTGAATTTATATTGAATTGGTTAAAAGAGGCTTAATTGAACTTAACTAAATATAGTGACTTAATTCAGGGCTCAATTGCAACAAATTAGCCCAATTGAATAATTTAAAACTTGCCGTCAAATTACATGCCGACCAATCCGCAAAATTTTTCAAAACTTTAAACTCAATTCATTCTCCGACGGCTCATTGATGCTGTAGGAGAATTATGTTTTAAAAATTGGCATTCTGGTTATTAAAGTTATCTGACAGATACTATACCTAAATTCTAGAGAAATTCATTTTCTTGAATAGCAAATACGTGCAATTGATAACAATATTTATACTGTATACTACGAAATCAATTCTATTGTATTTTGTCACAAAGATGTTTCTATTACCATTATTATATTATACTCAAATGCAGGCACCTAATCTATTTAAATTTGTTATTACATAGATATCACAGTATCTTCCAAAGAATATTTGCCTGAATACTGTAATAAAAATGCACGAATTATTGAATTATTAGTACAAATCATTTGGACAGGGAATAAACTGAGAAGGTATTAAAGTCTTTAATACCCTCTCAGTTTATTCCTAATTTTTTTTTAACTGTATATAATATCATTATTATTTTACTATGTTGTAAATCTGCTTTCTAATTTTTTCCAAAAACCACACGTATTATTACACCTGATCGAATTGAATTACCATTTTTACAAATCTTCTAGAAGAATAAACTACCCTACAATGACAAAACATTTAAAAATTAAATTAAATTTGATCTATAATCTATATCAGATTTATGATATAGTTTTATTTTAAAATCCAATCTCTTTGCCAATTAAATTTATAGTTTCAATTCAATTTATCAATAATATTTAAATCAATACAGTATTTCTAAGTAAATAGACAATTCATTAGGAATTTTATAAAATAGATATAAATAAAGCGTGTCATTTTTTT